TGTAAATAAAGAAAATCAGTAAAATATGCTACCTTTTAAATCTGTGGAGTTTTGCTAGTGCACTATAATAATCTCTGAATTCATTGATTAATTGTTTCAATCCGAATATTTTCCTTTCCACTGTATTTCGGTGATATATAAGTTTGCTAAGAAGGGTCTTAAATGATTTTTTTGTTTACATTTACGTTGTTATCTCGTAACCATCATAATAACTCCCAAGGCTAATGTAAAAAAATATGTTAGTTTTGAATTTGAGCTTTCTGTTGATGTTGTTGTTAAATAACATGCTTACTCTAATTCGAAATAATCCTGGTAAGTTTAGCCCTAATATGTTCAGCTGTTATCACAAACTTCAAGGTTTGCACAAGGCCCGATCTCAAAGAGTTTCTTCTTAATTATTACTGCTACAAAACGCAAAACTTAACTACAAATCAACATAACTCAACATATAGTATTACGAAGTTAAGCACTTTTAAATCTTAAAGCTTAGAATTTTTTACTATCCATATTAAGCTGTTAATATCTTAAAAGTAAGAAAACGTACTTTTAATGGAAAAAATCTTTGTTTTGTGAGTATAAAAATAAAATCCAAACAATATATTGTGGCATTTATCGTAAATATTTAAGGATATCTTGCATTTTGTAACATAGCTGTTCAATTTCACGGAACACATATTCTCTAGATCTCTTCTCTTCTTGTATCTGGCAGATTAGATCAAATAGTTTTTTTGTGCATTTGTTTGGATACAATTGAGTAAATCATTACATAACAATGTTTGGTAAAAAACACCTATAGTTATGTGGACACTTCAAATAGTATTTAAGTTCAGTAATTTTAAACTTATTTGTCCCATTTTATAAAACCAAATTAAGGTTTATTAGAGTTATTTAGATAGAGAAAATCGACGTTGTGTAACAACTGCTATTCTCAAGATAAACTTAACTAGCATATTCATATTTCTTGAGAGAAAAACTATCTATCAATATCGAAGCAATGTATGAATAAGTAAATGTATAAATTATTAGTAGATTTCACAGATAGGGTTGGAGTCTTGTGTGTTGGACAAGTCCCAGAGTAATATTACGATATAGTGTCGCATTGCAGTCATGTTTGTTTAGCAGCTAAGTTGAAAAATATCTTATTTAGTTGATATATCTTGTTTTAAAATCAAACCGAACAATTGACTGGCGGATTTGTTTTGGGGTTATCGCAGTTCCTTTTTGAATACATATATTTTAGATTGTTATAATAATTGATTAGAGTAATTAGTAGAATAATTAGAAAGAATAATAACAAGAAGCATAATAATAATAATAATAGCTTATTGAAAGAAGTAGATAGAAAGTGAATTGTTGTATGAACATGATTTTATTGATATTGTAGACTAATATGGGTAATTTGTTTTACATACTAGTGTGATAAAATCAACTATCAAATGCAAATTGATAATAATTTTATTCAAACAAGTGTTTTATGATTCCAATCATTGGCAAAGCAATATATTATTATTGACTTAATTTATATTATTTGCAAAGGAAAATTAGTTAGCAAAGACTAAATAAACTTAGGGTATTGTTATTTTTTACATATTTTTCCAAGTTGCATTAACTTTCTTACTTTTTTAGAGAACAAACCAAGCCATGGCATTTTCATTAGATAAGTTAACCTTTTATCGAATTGCCTATATAGGAAATAAGCTATTTGTTAGATTACCTCTTTTATTGTAATAATAAATGGCATTTATGTCGCTTGTTATTGGTCCAGCAATTTCAAATTTGAAGGCAAGCACTGTAGCCGTTGGGCTATAGACAGTTGTGCTAAACAAAACGTCAATGGAAGGTTGAGTATCATTTTGTAACTAGTTGGTGACGTCACGTAATACACAACCTGAACAGCTGTTTCTAGAGTGTAACTGGTGTTAACTACTGATCACCATGTCGCGTGCAATGAAGCTAGCGTGCAAAGTTATGTGGCTGTTACGATTGTTGACCTCATTGCCACGCTGTTTCTCGCATGATTGCAGGATATTGAATAATAATAGTTTCTTTTGGTTTTGGCCAATGATACGGTTTATAAACTACTGTGGTTTGGAATCACCTGGTTGACTTTAAAAAATTTTTGTAGCTAATAAATTGAAGGGAATTAAAACATAATTGTTTTCGGAAAATATATACTGTAAGCTCAAGGACCTAAAAAGTTGGTGAGAAGGGTGTTAGTTTGATGAAGTATGCATGAAAAGGAATACATTATTATATTCATGTACACTGATTAATTTATTAGTTTACTCTATGATTTTCCATAGCTTTCATAGCATGATTTAGCACAGGCTTCAATTGTATTTATTTTGTTATTCATTCTTGATATAAAATACTTAACTTATGCCCTCATAAATTTACGATTGGTTATCAAGCTCAATAGGAGGTTACAACAAAGTAAATTGTTCTAGATAATTCAACCCTCAGTCATATGTTAATCATTTAGGACTTAGTCTCCATTGCCATATTCTAACTCATTAATCGAACCCAATGTTCCCTGACGGCGTAGATAGTGAATTTCAGCTAGACTTAGTGACTAATAACAGTTTTACTCTAAATAGAATGAGAATTCAATCAGTTCTGTTTGTTTTGTAGCTAGGTACGAAAGACTGAGTTCCACTTAATATTCATGAAAGTGTTCCAACAAGTTTACACTGTTCTGAACAAATCGACATCGACGTCATCCTCTCCTGTGTCTGGATGTTTTGTCTCAATATTTTTTTCTTAGAATCATTGTGTTCCATTTCAACATAACTTAAACAAGATATAATCTTCCCAACGATATTTACTTAGCCTTAGAAGTGTAGTTTTTAGCTTTAATAGCTATATGTATCAGACATAATATATTACTGTTAATTTTCTTATTGCATAAGACCTATTGTCAAATACTTACACTAAACATACGGTTCAGTTATTCTAGTATTACTTGGACTATTTTATTGTTTACACTCGATAAGAACTCAATTTTACTAGTGAGACATTTTTATCGAAATCACTTTCGGTAAAGAGTTTCATAAAAGAACAATTTATGGGACATAAAAACATTTAAGCTAAAAACAACATTAGTTGAATTAATGAGATTGTCTTCTTGAAAATCAAAATAAAAGTAACATTAAAGGAAAATAAACGGGAGAACGGCCACTAAAGTGAATAAACAATCTAGGAAGCCATGCGGAACTGAGGCCACTACAAGAATTGCATTGCTATTGACCAATTCCGCAGAAAACAGCATCTCTTCCTGCAGATTAGGTTCTATAAATGCTACTTACACAGAACAAAAACTGGATCTACTAAAAGTTGTCCTGAGCAAATATTTATAGAAAATCATCCAACTAGAGTTTATCATAAGAATTATATTTTGAACCCATCATTTATTTGTTGTGTTTTAAAAATATATGTTCGTGACTATATAGCTTTTTATACTTACCTAGATATTATATTGTTTAATATAATTATAACCATATGTTTCAATTTATCAATAACTAATAAACGAACTATCTATCATTGGCAACTTATAAAATTTATAGCAGAGATACAGGTACTAGACTTTAAAAGATATTGACCATGTTACTTAATGGTATTAAAACTTAACTGAAAATGGACTTCAGTACCCATATGTTTTAGTTAAATGTTTGCAAAATATTATTAAAGAAATTAGGTTTCGTAATGTTGACTATCGTGATCTTATTTAAGTCTTGTTCCAGGTTTTTAAGTTTTAAACTGAAGCCATGTAGAGTTATCAAAATATTTATTTATTCACTTTTACTTTTTATAAATACATTGATATATAAGACCAAAGGCTATACTCAATCTCAGTGGAAAATATCCAAAGTGAGGTGTAAAATCAGCTATGCGTAGTTTGTTTAAAATTTGTAACAAGACCAATTTTATCCATAGCACCCTCTTGACAAAATACAGCTATAAAACCATGGTATTTTTCAAATATTCATTAAACTCAGTTTAATTATAACCAATTTAAAGTATTTCCAAATCACCTATACCAATATTAAAACCACATTAATTAATTAATTTAATTTAATTAATTGATTAATTTATCTTAAACAATCAAACAAAAACAGTATACACTTCATATGCAATACTCCAAAAACAGATCCGGCAAACCACAATATACGAGACACCAAACCGGATGTAAAGCTGTTTTGGGATTTATCAATAACAATTAACCTAGATATAAGGATATCATTATAGATGCCAAAGTTGATACGTTTGTCCCTTCCAGCCTTGTCAAATAACGAATTGCATTTGTTTGAGTCAAACTTTTATGAGAGATATAAAATTGTGCTGTTCAATCATATGTCTTTTATGTTATTAATGAAATAGGTTTATCATTTACAAATAAACATTCTTAAAACCAAACTAAATACAACAGTAAATTTACTGATTAAATTTTGCTAAAAGAATAAATAACCTGTTAAGGGGGTCTGGTGGAATTTTTAAATAGGAAAAAGCTGGAAAAACATATCTTGTTTATAAACGTTTTTTTTTCTATGCCAGGGTCATTTTATGTTGTTTCTCTTTTTGAGAAACATGCTCGAAGATCGAGGTCAACATGCTAGAAGTTTCATACAATGTATCTTTTGGCTTGAAACGAGAAAGCTTAGCTTAATACAACTCAAGTGGTGGCTACACTTTTCAGAAGTAAATCTTTACCAAATAAGGTTCAAAATTAGATTACATAACCTATGTAGTGCTATTAGTTGTGGGTTTCCTTAACGTATTAGTGTATTCGTTTATGGGTTTGCATTTTAAGATTGCATCTTGCACTACAGCTGTTTGCCTACCATTTTTTAACGAGGAATACAATATTTTAAAGCACAAAATCGTGATAAGTTGTGGTTTTCAGCGTTACTACGGTTGTCACAATGTGACAAAGTGCTGTCATAAGCCTACGACGGAATATGAGGCTCCATATATTAAGATTGCTTATAAAATGAGGCGTAAAGCTGCGACCCACTTCGCATCGTTGGAACGTAAGTAATATAAACTTTACCTCATCCTATTGCTCTTTTATGTCTTTATGTCTTGTAGGAAAAAGAAACGGCAATGTCTTAAATCGTATATAGTAAAACGCTATAAGTTCTATCTAGTGTACTCTACTCAAATATCTTTAGACCTACATTTGTGTGGACTAGCTATTGTTGTATTTTTTTGTACAATATAAATTTAGGAAAAAGAAACAACAATGTCTTAAATCGTATATAGTAAAACACTATGAGTTCTACCTCGTGATTATACTTTAAGTTGAATAATCGTTTAGTTTCCAAAAAGTGCGAGATTTGTATATAGTTTAAAGGTACATATCGTTGGCAGATGTTTTAAAAGATTATCTTACAGTTTTAGCGTCCATTTGTGTCAATCCTAAGCATCCAGATAGATGTATTGTTAATTCGACCATTCTCTACATTATAAAGTGACCAGTATGGGACTTCCATAGAGTGAATATTGCTCAAACTCTCTTACGCGCTTGTCTTAAATCATCAGATGAAAGAATGGAATATTAAAATATACATTACGGTTACCCATTAAAACAGAGGACACACCATTAATAGCGATCACAATGAACATAACAAGAAATATATTTATAAAAAAAATAATCGTGGCCTAAACAAATAATAAATGCGCTGATCTGTTCTCAATATATATATTTTTTATTAGTACAGTATTACAAATGATAACATAATACATAATGCCACATTTATAGTTATCGAATGGCAGTAGAAGTTCTAATTATTTCCCCATAGATATTAAAATGATAGATCTTATTAAGATAACTGAAATCGTATCACTGAAGCGATTATTTAAAAACAATCATTGTTTCAGATTCTACGTATAAGGAACCATGACACATATCGTAACGCTTTGTGTTGTTTCGACCATTGTTCATGTGGTATGTGAAAATATTTGACATTCGAAAAAATAAATAAAATACTAGCATTTAGTTAAAAGTTTAAAGACTTAATTCTATGGAAATTATTTCTATCCTAGATCAAATATAACTGAGCATATTTTATGAACTTTTAAAAGGAGTTGGTTAAAAGAATTGCCAAATAAATTAAATATTCTTATTGAATTAAAATTATTGTTATTCTTATCAGGAAATAATAAAAACAACTCCATAAACGTTGTGATAATAGGGTAACGATTTGCATTAAAAATAATAATATTGTTTAATTCTATTGAGGGAATTAAAATTTGGATCAATCTTGAAATTCAATAAACAAATTTAACTATGCAGGCCTATTTATAATTAAACTGCATATATAATTAAAATTTCTAATATTATTCCTGGTTGCTAAGGTGGCGGCAAGTGACGACTATGTGTTCTACTTCAAAAGAGCAGACTTCTTCCATTCAGACATTCTGCAACAGACGCTTCCCCAGTTGGATCACACCGTAGACTCCCTATGTGTGAAGATGGAGGTCAACTGTAGGTTTACTCAGGCTATAGAAGAGTGTGAGGCTCTGTACAGAGCAGCCCCTCAATGTATCACTACTCAGGATAGGAAGATGATAAAGGTATGGACGGCTAACAAGGGAGGACAATTTTTTGAAAATTTGTCTTTAGTTTTTAACTTGAATTAAATAACCGAATACATATTTATAATTAGATCTCAAGGTTTGCATAGCAATTCACAGTGTCATTAATATGTTTTAAATCATCACTTATACTGAATTAATACCAAGTACCAAAATTAATGGAGGTGTTTTCTAGATACAAAATAAAGGTTATGAGCGGGGGATAGTTATACAACTATTACTGTTATGAGACTAACCTAGTTAAACTAAAGCTAGTAAACTTTAACTATTATTAGTGCATTTATGTATTTAGATTTACCAATTCAGTGCAAATTTAGTTAACGATATTGATTGTGCCTCTGAAAATATAAACAATATATTCTACATGCCTCTGAATAAATACATAGTATAAATAAATGTATTGTTTTCATAACTATATTTTTTGTAGCTGTACATAATATAGTTTTGTATTTTTATAAAACATTTATTTTAAGCATTGTTCTAATGACGCATTCAACATAATTTGTCCCCTTAACCTTAACGTAAGGGCAAACTTAACTGTAGTCAGCAAACCTAAACACACATTGGACCAATAAAGTTAATCCTAAGAGTGAATCTAGAGACCTTGATAAACTGAATTTAATGGACTATTAGAAGCTACATAGAGCAGATAACCATATAATCTTTAAATAATTGACAACTATACAAAAAGTGATTATAAGTACTAAAAGAAAAGTAGCATTGTTTAGCTAGATTTTTTGTATCTATATTTTAAAAAACATGAAAATGTATACTAAAATCTAAAGGTTTACAAACTGTGTAGGAGGCAAACAGATGGATCATACAATTATAACTAACATTTATCAGATTTCCCACGCCTTAATCGACTTAGCTAATACTTATGCCTAGTTAAATAGTATTACTTGTGATCCACTGGTCATGTCTTTATGGGAATCAAATATATTTTCAAGCAGTGTGTTGATTTTAGGGTAGTAAAAACGTTGCGTGATCTTGGATGATTACTTTTCCACAACTTAACCATTGCGTGAAAATGCCCAATAAAATCCACTAATTGGAAACTTCAGTATACAATTTATGACTGACTCAGTTTCGGCGTAAATACCTGAATATAAATTCCAGCCAATCAGTTGATTTATGACTTTGCAACTGTGTATTTTGGTTAAAGTAATTAACAAATAGAAGGCTTATGAGCTTTGATGTCACTTAACATGTGACCCATTTTAAATGGGCAATTAATTACTATTGGTTTTTATTTTTGTTCAGTTTTTGAAAAATAATATAACGTTCCAAATATCATCGTAAACGTATTACTTGTGATTTCTATTCTATTTAATTAATATGGTACTTTAAAAATAACTGATTAGATGGTTTCAACAATAAAACATCACACGATTAAGTTAGCAATCGGGGGAAACCATTTCCCAAATTTTAAGATTGTATTCATGATGTATATACCATACTTGTAAAGTATATTGATACATCTCTTAATAATTATTATTTGTTATTGTCCTTGTGTAACGATATAAATTATAAATATAAACATGTTTCCTCCATCAGGAAGCAAAATCTGGCTTCGTCAACTCTCGAGAGAAGTGTGTCAAGGAAGCCAACTGCAAAAATGAAGTCACTAAGGCTGTGGAAGAGGCGGCGATTTCTATCAAGAAAATAGACACTGATAAACTAAAGGAAATCACCACTTGTGACAAGGACGACCAGTGCAAATATACGGTGAGTATAATTTCTCACAGATCAGTGGTAAATTGCTAAGTGATAACTTGCAGTTATATTGGCATTTCATTTATATGAAAGTTCAACAGTTTTTAAGACACATATAAAAAAAAAATTTACGATAAGATATTGTGATTTTTTAGGACCTCATTATTTGTTTGAAAATGACCGAGTAAGAACTTTTACCATTTCTCTAAAGAGTAATTCAATTTGGATTTCTATCAAGATATATGTATGTTCGAGGTAAAAAGCAATACATTGTTTTGTTTAAATTTAACCCAGCAAACTTTGACATTTTAAGCATTAAATTACTTTTTATTGTTCAGCATAATGATATCCTTATAATGTTAGAAGAAAAACTAGGTAAACGTGGTAATGGCCGAATAATGAGAAGGTCACTGGTTAAAATGTGAGAATATGCTTAATATTTTTCACAGTTCGTAATCAGCCCCAGCTGTCTCTGATAATTGGAAGTTTAAAAAATTTTCTTTCTAAAGAACCAATTTATTTCAGAGAATAAAAGCCTCCAACTGACTTATGATTGCACATGCTTTCAGGTGTACAACAACGCACACAACGATATTTTCAACCTATACTTGACGACCCGGCCTAAACTCCGTCTACTAGCAGATCAGGACGTGGCTAGCGGTGACTGCGCCGGTGCTATAGTCAGCTGTATGGTAGCAAGCAACGCAGAAGCACTGCGCAGATTATATGAAATCAGTGCGCAGCTCAAACAATGCCAGCAAAAATATAAGATTGGCCAATCCAGCATACTCGGTGCTAACCCCGGCTACATACATGCACCCGAGTTCTTTGGATATCAGAGTTGATTTACATTTTAACTGGTACTGTCTTGATCTAAAACTGATTAAGTATTCAATAAGATATGTGCAATAGCCTTAGGAAGAACTTTTTAATTCAATGATACGTAAATAGTATCCTATGAACTATAAAGCCAATAGTTGTGTTTTATTTATGTAAAAATAAAAAAAAACCTAAACCACTAAAGGTGTGAAACAGTAGTAGACTATAAAACCCAAATAGCTACAACACATTTTACAATGTATAAAAAGTGGAATTATTGACAAAAGAATAATAAGTAATACATTTATACTACTTTTTAAGAAACAAAGCATAAATGATGAATAAAACTTTGCATTTACGTTGTCCTACAAGTTCAATAAGAATAGTACACAATTGAATATGAAAATGAATATTGGTATGTTTATAGTTTGTTTATTGTTGAAAATTGCATTAATTTGAAACTCCATTATTACAGTTTTACGCATTCAAGATAATGTTTTATGTTTAATAGGTAAACGCAGACCTACTAACTCCAGTGTATCTAATTATAATGTACTTTAAAACCTAATGGTTAAAAATCAAAGAAATGTTTTTGAGAAGATGCGCATGTTTCCCACTGTACATAAATAAGTACAAACGTACCATAATCAGGAAAACTGTGAATCATTGGGGTTTGTGTTAAACAGGTATATTACCCCTTACTACCTTCCACTTTTACCTTGGGACTTGAGACGCATATAAGTGTTTTTATGTATTCTGTAGCCTCGATTTAAGAAATAATTTAAATCAACTTTATTTCATATGCATTTTGGATCTTATAAGGATTTTAAAATAGCTTTACTTGTCCAAAACTAATTCTTATAATTCTTTAAATATTCAAATATTTTTTTTCAGTGTATGTAAGAACAGTGTTTGTCATAGATGAAGCTCAATCACAAAATTTTTATGGTAACACATTATACTTGAACGTGTCTACAGAAAACTAGTTTTATAGAAATCAAACAATATAACTAGGGTACGAATAAAAACAATTATTTAAAAGTTCATAAGATAATCAGTAGAAATAGTTTTGAGGGGCCTTTCGTTGTAACAAGAATTAAAACTTTTAAGTATAATATATAAGTTATATAAATTATTTAAGATGGGGACGCCACAAGGTTCGTATATTAATCCAAATATTTGTGAAGGATGTGTGTAGAATGAGTAGCAATATTATATAATAATGTGTGTCCTTTAGGATATTACCGTATTGGCAGGGGTGAAAAAATCATAATATTTTTTCTAAGCTCATTGTAAGACAGGCTAAATGTTTGTATTTGAAGAGTTAGGTTAGTTACAAGGATGCCTTTGTTACATGCCCAGCAAGACTTGGTATTGGTTTATCTTTGTTTAAAGGCTGATATCAATATCCTAGCTGTAATGGATCAAAGTTCTGTAATGGAAGGATAGTGCACCACTCTGCCTCAATAACAGCCATTAATGGAAGCAGCTTCCAGCACAGACTTAATTGAAGAGTATACCTCTAGTAAACTGTATAAATAAAAGTGAATCACAACAAGAGAATTTCTAAACGAGCATTTATCTTGTATCATCCTTTGAAAACCAATTTCAGAACAAAAGGAAATTTTTGTACTAACTATATAACATGGACTAATAAGGTAGTTTTAACTAAAATCTTTGAAACTGTTTTGAATCATATCATGATTATACAAGACCCATCTGGTAAATATTCTTTCCTGTATTTTTTTGAAGTTGTATCTAAATTATTCCAGTTTCAAAGCATAGCAGGTAATAGCGAAACCGTTATTTATCTAACGATAGTACGCCCCTATTAACACGTGGACTAGATGCTATAATGCTGATTTTTTTAGTCAAATCTGCGTCATTTTAAACATACGGGTGTTAGCGAAATTAAAAGAAATATTTCTGAGAAAGAAAGCCAAGAAGAGCTAATAAACTAATGTTTAATAAAATGACGCTTGAGAACATAGGAAGATTTGTCTAAAACCCTCAACTTCAACCCATATGTGAGGTAAACAAAATGGTGCTATGGTATGAATTTTGGTTTTTATATTACTTCATAGTAGGGGGTTTGGATTAAAAACTGTTTAAATTAATGCATTTTGAAACGTGTGTTTAAAAGTATTCAACGATGATTAACTATCAACAATTGGCTCTTTAGTTTTTTTATAGTATTGGTTAGATTAATTTCAAGTGTTCTAAGGATAATTTTAGAGTGTTGTTAATGGGATAGTACAGTTGTAAGCTTTAAATATAGATAGAGGTTTATATATAATATGAATTATGTGTAGCTAATTATTTAGGATCAATTATGTGCTACAAGCTTATCATATTTTCCTACGATAAAAGCTCCATTTTGATACACATTTTCCATTGCATGGTTGTTTGGCTTACACTGTTTAGTACAGGTAAAATAGGGTTTTATAAACAACAAAATTTGTACATTCATGAAATTTCACCTGTGAGTTACTAATAATATGAGAAATGAAGATCCGATGAGTCCCCAACATTTTGGGCGTCCTAAGGCCCTTTTTGGGGCCCTTTTTGTTCCGAAGGGCCCTTGTTCCTCAATAATTTTGTTTTTACGTTTAAGGTCGAGTGAGGTGTGGTTTTCGATGGTTTTACTTATTTTGAATCGATTGGGACTAGTTTTAAGTGTTTTAAACCACTCCATACAGGGTTTTTCGAAATATAAATACTTTTTACAATATTTAAACATTTATTCATAAAGTAATAAAAATAGTTACCTCCATGCTCTATATAAAAGGAGATTATTGAAAATAATTGTAATTCTTTACTACGTAAGGGAAAAGGATCACAAGGAGTAAGAGAACATAATTTAAAAAAAACCCCGTCACAGCAAACCTGCAGACCTAGCGAATTTCCGTTTTACTTACTTGATCTTTAATTAAATCTAAAATAGCATTGCGTTTAACGATTACCTAGGTTTGCTGCTACAAGGAGGCTAATAAAGTGTGTTTATAGTAAAATATTAATAGCCTAGTATAAAACAAATAAATTTGACAAGTTTAATCAAGATATATCTATAAACAAACAAACAAAATCATTTTACACTATTCTACATAAGAATAACATGGGAATTTTAAATTTACAATTTTAGTATTTTTATCCGTAACTAATAACCATACAAAAACACGTTAATATACTAAATTATTTGTTTTTAAGCTATTTAAAATGCTTTAGAGAAAAATTGGGAAACTTTGTGTTTTTAGGGTAAAGTAAATGAGAAAACTCAATTTTTACCCCATGCACCTCGTTCCCATTGTTCAGGACAAAAATGCTTGTACCGACAATGCTGCTCTGATGTCTTAGTGCTGTCCTGGTCGTCATAACCATCAAAGACAACCGTACTTGTATTGATTGAAAATAATTTTGAGGAACTTAAGATACAAGTTGCAAACGTCAGTATGTATGAAAGGAGTTTTTGCACCACATTGTTCGTGCTTTAATATTGGTGTTGCCTGTTCTGCAATATGCAAGGTTTGTAAAGGGGAATCCCGCTTAAACACCAACTTAGACAAAAACAGTAAAGATGGACAAGTTGCTAAGAATAGTAAAATTGTTAATGAGTCGTCTGAGAATAATTATTGTGATGATGAAATTGTAAAGAGATATACTACGGAAATTGTAAAAAAATAGCTTTAGTTTAAGTAAATTTTTAGTTTAAGTCATTTTAATATGTAATGTAAGGTTTAATAAAAATACAATCGTTTAATTTTTTTATAAATGTAAAAAAAATTAACTTAAATAACTACCTAAGAAAATACATATCAATTTGAAATTGGTCTTAATAGATTTGCATTAAAAAAACACATTGAAAGATTATTCACACCACCTTAAAAGTTGAAATTTTTGCGTAGTAACCTATGTTATTATGTTATAGTGTAAAACTTAATCCATACCCTTTTACCCACCATACAACCTAACCCCCCCTTAAGGGGGATAACTTATCCCCCTTTAACTTCCCATATAGGAAATAAGCTATTACCGAAGGTCTTATGGTAAAACATAGACCCGAAACCGATTTACGTTTTCATTTCGATGCCCCCAGAAGCCTAAAGCACCATCCACTAAAAATATTATATATGTGTTTATATACATATATATAATATAATATATCCATGTTATATATGTGTCCGTAAACATGATAACTCGAGTAATTTTGGTTCAATTTTAACAAAACCGGCATAATCGGTCCCAAGAACAGGGTTTTATGTGGTAAAAAATTGTAATATTTGACCCTCAAAAACAGAAAGTTTCCCAATTTTTCCCTAGAGCCTTTTAAAGAGCTTAAAGAAAACAAATAATTTAGTATATTAACGTGTTTTGTAAGTGTATTAGTTACGAATGAAATTCAAATATTGTAAATTTAAAATTCCATTTTATTCTTAAGGAGAATAGTGTAAAATGATTTTGTTTGTTTGTTTATAGATATGTCTTAATAAAACTTGTCAAATTTATTTGTTTTATACTAGGCTATTAATATTTGACTATAAACACACATTGTTAGCCTCCTTGTAGCAGCAAACCTAAGTATTCATTAAACTCAATGCTATTTTAGATTTAATTGAAAATCGGGCAAATGAAAATTCGCTTAGTCTGCAGGTTTGCTGTGACGGGGGTATTTAATATTTTCTCTTATATAGTAAAGAATTAAAGTTTTTTTCGATAATCCCCTTTTATATAGAGCATGGAGGACTAATTTTATTACTTTATGAATAAATGTTTAAATATTGTAAAAAGTATTTATATTTTGAAAAACCCTGTATGGAGGGGTTTAATACACTTAAAACTAGTCCCGATCGATTCAAAATAAGTAAAACCATCGAAAACCACACCTCACTCGACCTTAAACGTAAAAACAAAATTATTGAGGAACAAGGGCCCTTCGGAACAAAAAAGGCCCCAAAAAGGGTCTTAGGACGCCCAAAATTTTGGGGACTCATCAGATCTCCATTTCTCATATTATTAGTAACTTACGGGTGAAATTTCATGAATGTACAAATTTTGTTGTTTATATGGAGTGTTTTTGTATTATTTTACCTGTACTAGTTACATAGTACAGTAAGTTGTCATGCTATATGGTCGACAACATGCAAGATAAACACACCTA